TATGGCATAAAGACCTGAGAGAGGGTCGGGAAGACAAAGAGAGACACAGAGAGAGAGAGAGAGGAGAGAGGACTAAGATAGAGAGGGAGAGGGGAAGACTGAGATACGGAGTGAGGGTGACTGAGATAGAGATAGAGAGGGGGAGGAGACTGAAATAGAGAGAGAGAGAGAATGGAAGACAGACGGACCAAGAGAGAGAGATAGACACAGATAGACAAACACACACACACACACATTCACAGGAGAATGGCAGAATGAGTGAGAGTGAGTTCTGATTAGAGCCCAGGTCACAAGCTATTAGCAGGTCAGCTCTTTGACTGCTGCCCGATGTGTGTTTAGCCTGTGCCCAGCGGGAGCCATCAAACACCGTGGCCGGGAATCAGTGCCCGCAGCCAAGCCTGACATTTCCGCTTGGTTAAACATTTCCCCTGTGTACAGAGTGGCCTGCTGACAGCACCCACACCTTAAACACTGATACCATCAGGCATTAAACACTGAGGTTATAACTCCAACACTCAATCTGAGTCCCATTCAACTCATTCACTCCTAACATGTAAAATTCCATTCTACTCAGAGAATGTCCAGCTCAGAAACACGCCATTTGGAACTTAAAGGGGGAAAACTGTGGAGTGGAAGAAGACAGAGGGACCTCAGAGTGCAAATTCTCAGGTCCACACTGAGAATTTTCTGTCTACACAGTCATTACACTCAGCAGTGATTTCCTGTGAACTGTCTTGAGCCATTTCGATGTGACGAGGAAAGAAAGCTAATAATATTAATAATAATAAATCCTTGCAGTTATTATTGCACCGTCATGTCACTGCACATTTTGTAGACAAAAGTAGGGAATCTGAACAGTAGCCAGTTTGGGTGGGTTGGTTATGGGGGGGTGGAGGGAGGAGGGAATGAGGGAAATCATCTCAAATCAACTCTGCTCAAAATCTCTCAAAACGTCCGAGTTTGAACCTCAGTCATTTCTCCAGTGACATTGCAGGTGATTGGCAAACAGAGCTCAAGAGCCCTGTCCATGCTGACCATCTCTCCCAGCCCCAGGACCTCCCTCGCTCACAACTATATCCCATCACACACAAGACTGGCTTCCGAGCGGAAAACGCAGCGGGATGAAATGAGCCACGACTAGATTTATAAATCTTGCTTGGCTTCTCCTCTGATTTGCCGGTCAGCCGGGTATCTGACAGATGCCGAACCCCAACACCATGTTTACGAGAATCCAAACCAAGCTGAGAATTCCATGCAACACCCCCAACACGTTGAAATTCCAGAGACGTTTATTGGAATAGAAGTTGTACTCTCTCCCTGGAGGGACGCATCCTGCTTCCCTAATTCCTAATTCACTATGATATAATAATAATAATCCTTGCATTTGGTATAGCACCTTATCACGTCGTATCTCAAAGCGGATATACTGTAAAGTGGATTGACTGCATACTTTGTGGGCGAAACGCAGCAGCTAATTGTGAACAAGAGTGTCCCACAAACAACCACAGAGCAACAATTTTTTTGAAATCAACTTTTTTTTGGGGGGGTGGGGGGGGTGGGGATTGTTGGCCAGGACACCGGGAAAGAGAAACTTCCTTCTCCTTTCGAATAATGGCATGAGATCTTTAATGTCCACTTGAACAGACAAATGGGACCTCAGTTTAACGTCTCATCCAAAGGACAGCTCCTCTGGCAATGCAACACTCCTCCAGCACTGCATTGGAGTGTCAGCCCCACACTATATGATCCCAAGTCCCAACCCATGGGGCTTGAACCTTCTGACTCAGAGGCGAGACCGCTACCACTGAGCCAGGCTGGCACACTGAGCCTAGGATCAGCAACCAGTGACAGAGCTCAGCCCAGGTGGGTTACTCGGGGCTTTTCTCAGTTGATAAAGGCTTTGAGGAGGAGGAAATCCCTCATCTGTGCTGAACAAACACGGAGTTAATCATTGAGCACCGACCGTGGCAAGACACCAGTTCCTGTATCCAGCGCGTGGCTCAAAGTCCAAGGCTGTGTCGTGTTCATTAAGTGGTTTACACACCACCCCTCGCAACCCACACGTCTGAAACTCAGAACATTCTGTGGCCCCCCTCCCCCAGCACATCACAGAGACAATGCCAGAACAATTACCATCAGGCCGCTCAGTGGGGTCAAGAGCGCTCTCGCCTCTGAGTCAGAAGATTGTGGGTTCAAGACCCATATCATCTAAACTGACACTCCAATGCAGTGTCCAGTGCTGGGGGAAGGGGGTGGGGGTGGGGGGGGTTATATTGTCAGGAGGTGCCGTGCTGCGGATGAGATGTTGAACCGAGGTCCTGTCTGCCTGCTCAGGTGGACATTGAAAATCTGTGGCACTTTTGGAAAAGGGAAGGGAGTTTCCCTCTCCCCATGTCTTGGCCAACAATCCCCCAAATTAAATTGGTCACTCACTCCATAGCTGTGGAACATTACTGTGTCAAAACCTGCTGCTGTATTTGCCTACACCCTGCACTTCACAATAACTCCACGTGAAACATTTTCACAGTGCAACTCCCCCAGGAGTGGAGAGTCAGCCTAGAGAATGAGCTCGGAGTCCCAGCATGGGCCTTGAACCCATAACCTTCTGACCCAGAGTTAAGTGTGCTAGCGCCTGAGCCAGCCTGACACTGATACCTAGACTGCGTCTCAAAGTACATCTCAGCGTTACCATGGAAAGGCTCCTGTCCATAATCGAAGGGTAATAAAATATAATGACCAGGGCCATGTCTCTGCTCATTAAAACCATGAATGATTTGTGTGAGCTATCAACTCCCTCTCATCCCCCAAAAATAACAAGACATGAGAGGGTCAGGTGAACAATCTCTTTGATCTCATCCTTCCAGAAACCCCACCTTACAGCATCAAGCTGTTACTGACATGGCCTCACCACCCTTTCTGGTTAGAGCAGGGAGTGCTGTCTCTGAGTCAGAAGGCTGTGGGTTCAAGCACTAGACTACATTGACACTCTAATGCAGTCCTGGGAGAGTGTTGAACTTTGGATCCGTCTGCCTGTTTAGGTGGATGTTAAATATCCCATAAGAGCAACAACAAAATTACAAAATTGTATAGCACCTTTCACGTCGGGAGGACGGTATTCAATAAGAGAAGGGAGTTTCTCCCGGTGTCCTGCCCAACAATCTACCACTAAATGCAAGGATTATTATTAGTAGTAGTAAAATTTGTTATTCACTTAATGAAGTTAAGTGGGACATTGCTGTGAACAAATTATCTGCCGCATTCATCTACAAATACACAGTCACTACCCTTCACAGTAAATCATGTGAAGCGCTTTGAAACGTCCTTCAGATGTGAAAGGCACAATATCAAATGATAAGATTATTATTATATGATAAGATTTTAAATGGGACTAAGCAGGGGAATAGGATTATAATAATAATAAACCTTGCATTTGATACAGCACTTTTTCACGTCTTTGAGACGTCTCAAAGCACTTCACAGAATATACTGTAAAGTGAATTGACTGTACATTTTGTGGGAGAAATTAGACTTTAGTGGGCAGCGAGCACCAGCACTATTCAATGTGACTGTCTGTATCTTTGATTAGAAGTCCAGCCTCTGCAGCACTCCTTCAGTCACCTTATCAGTGGTACAAGCCACATCTGAACAAACAAAGGCTTTGACTAACTGACTGATAAAGGACAGAGAACGGTTTCATTCGCTGCAGATATGACATTATGCAGTGTTAATCTTTAATAAGCTCGTCAGTTCCTGCTAGCACTCTGCGCTGGGCCACACTGAGCTGCTCCTGTCTATCAGGCATTGGGATCTGTTACCACACTCTCCTCGGCACTCACCACAACACTACACGTGGTGAGGCCGGACTCGCTCTGTCTGTCCATCTAGTAAACCACAGTGAAGGACGTCAGTACAGCAAGCAAATATTCCCACCAACCCAATCTACAGCAAGGCTTAAAGAGTAATGCTCCCTCTACACTGTCCGTCCACACTCTCAAGTCAGCGCCAAGATGGGTTAGAGACAGAGTGAAGCTTTCTGTACACAGTTCGTCCACAACAAAAACACTCCCAGGTCTCTAATAACCATTGCATTTGATATAGCGCCTCATCACGTCCTCGAGAGCATCACAGCACATCACAGAATATACTGTAAAGTGAATTGACTGTGTATTTTGGGAGCAAAACTTGGCAGCCAATTGCGCACAGCAGTGTCCCACAAACAGTCATGGGTTGAATGACAAATAATTATTTCAAACATTTTTTTTTAAAAAACGGATTATTACTCCCAGAAAAGCGATCCGCCAATCGACTGACAACCAGGTTCCTACTTGCTGCCAGATAAACAGAAGCATGTGGAGTAAGGAAACTTGCCTAACATTTTGCCCTGCCGGGGAATCGAACCCAGGTCTAGTAAATATGTCATTCACCTCCAGACTGTTTGCGGTCGGTGCTGTGCACAATACGCTGTCGTCTTAAGCACTCTGAGGCGCTACCATGCGTGAGGGGTCCCATATAAATGCAAGTTGTTGTTAGTGTTGTTTTTCTGTAGAAATACATAGTCACTACAATTGATCGTAATCAGTTGGAGACTTTCACAAGATCTAGCATAACTATCAGAAGTTGCCAGAGGTTCAAACATAAGACGCACCTTAAACATAATGATCTGAAGACCAGAGGCTGCGAATCACATCTGGATACAGCTTGTAACACCAGCTTACCTTACAGTTCAAGATGGGACACAATTCTGGAAAATTATTAAATTCAATCTTAATTTCAGGCTGAATTTAATGACTTTCCCCAATTTGACATTGTCTTGAAAATAGGGAATCCTTTCCTATCCAGATTCTCGTGCTAAGTCACACAAGGAGCAGGTTAAGAAAGGTCGCAATCTTTACCTCCCATGTGTAAGTGTGTGACGCTCAGCTCCATCTGGCTCAGTGGAGAGAGAGCTGGAGGAACAGTAGTGCAGGATAGACAGCGAAGAGTAGGGTTGAGTTGCTGACCTGTGTTGTATTGCCTGAAGGGACCTTCTGCGTACGTCATTCTGGAGTGAGCTACCTCTTGCTCTGTGTGCAAGTGAGAAGAAACGGTAAAGAAAAACAAACATTCATCTGTGTTTGGAATTCAAAGGGATTACATCCTTCCTCCCTCCCCCCCCACTCCCCAGTTGAACAAGAGGACATGGATTTAAAGTTGAAAGGGGCAATTTCAGGACAGACCCCAGGAAGTTTTTTTTAAACCTATAGGGTAATTAACTACTGGGACTGGGTTGCCAGAAAGGATGGTTGTGGCCAGGACACTGGGACTCGTATAAAAACACAAATGGTAGGTGGGCAGAATGGATGGGGCGGAGAGATCAGAAGGGCCCTCTTCATCTGAGTGACCTTGTGACTGCCCCTCGTTAATGTCGCTCGAGTGCCCATTGAGTGGAGACAAAGAACTGTCTGAACTTAATCCCTGACAGCCGAGCTGAGACGGAGATAGGTGCACCTGCCCTCGGCTCAATTGCCCACTCATCAGCAGGACTCGGAAGGGGAGACCAGAAATTGGGGGCAAGGAGTCATCCCACTCAGCTCCTGTTAACCCTGCAAGCCAAAGCCCTAATGGGTAGGGTGGTCCTAGCTGGAAAAGCAACGGGAAAGCTTGCCAGACAGTGCAGGAGGAGGGGGAGAGTGAGAGAGGCCAGCGTCAAACCACCAGAATCAGGAAATATTTGAGCAGAGAAGGAGGCTATTCAGCCCATCTGCACTCCGCTGTCCCCCTCACTCACTTTTAGATTTCTCCTTTTCAAATATTTCTCTAATCCCCTTTAAAAGCTCTCAGACTAGGCTCCTACCAGTGTGTCTGTGATATTCCACCTCCTAACAGCCCTGCCTGTACAATAAACATCTCCCAACCCTGTGGCTTTAGTGATGATCTTAACCCAGTGATCTGCAGTGACTGACTCACCGAGCAGCAAAATTAGTTTCTCTCTATTTATCTTACAAATAAAAATAGAATTATTTTCAATGAATGTCTCTGTTGGGTCTCCTCTGTTACAGTGACAATATGGCACCAGTTTAAGATTATCAGTGGATTCAATAGGGTGAATGTTTGGGCTGTTTCCACTTGTGGTGAATCTGAAACCAGAGGGTATAACTATAAGATAGTCAGTAACAGAGCTACTGGAGAGGTTAGGAGGAACATCTTAATACAGAGGCTGATGAGAATGTGCAACTCACTGCTGGAAGCCGTAGTTAAAGCAAATAGTATTCAGTGTGTTTGGCAAAAAAGTTGATTCAGACATAAGGGAGAAGAGAATAGAGGGGTGTAGGAGAGGGGAATGGAACAGTGTAGAAGAGGGGAACAGAGGGGGTAGGAGAGGGGAATGGAGCGGTGGGGTCTCCTGAGGCTGGAGCCCTGCTCACACCTCCTATCACCCACCATTAATGTCACCATCAGTCAAAGACGAAAATATTTCAGATCATTCTGAGAAAAGGTGAACAGATGAAACTCATCAACATCAGGTGTTGAACTGTAAGGGGTCAGGGCTCAGAATGTACAGTATAGCCAGGAAACTGCTATTTCACACTGTGTGTAACTGGTTTATCTAATTATCACTGTGTGCAGCTATTACATAAAGTCACATAGAGTGATACAGCATGGAAACAGGTCATTAAACCCAACTAGTCCGATCCAGTGTTTAACCTGCACACAAGCACCTACCCCTCCTGTTCCCCTGCTCTTATATAGGCGTCAAGCTTCCTCTTGTATTGATGCTATTTGCATCAACCATGTTTTCACCAGCCTCTGCCTGAAGGTGTTCCTCCTAAACTCTGTAAGATGTTACTAATTGGCCTATATTTACACCCATCTAGTTACAGACTCACCAGCAAGTGGAGACAACCTATCAATATCCACCTTATCAAATCCTTTCCTAATGATAACCCTCTCGATCAGGTTCCCTCCCAATCCTCTCAGCTCCAGAGAAACTGTGAGCTGGTCACTCTGTCCTGACATTGCAGCCATTCAGGCTGGGATCAACACTGCCAATCTACACCAATCTACACTCTCTCTCATGCTATAATAATGCTATCATGTCTTTCCTATAACCAGAAGTGTACACAGGATTCCAAATGTGGTCTAATCAAAGTTTTATATACATTTATCATCACTTCCCTACTTCTTAAACTCTATTCCTTTGGTGACAGAGTGTAGGATTCTATTTGCATTCTTTATGACTGTGTCCACCGGTGCTGTTACATTTAAAGTCCTGTGAACCTGAATTTCCAGGGGCCTCTGTTCCTCCATCAAGCCCAGGTTCCCACCATCCGGGGAATACTCAGCTTCCTTATTCCTACTAAAGTGGATCACTTCGTATTTCCCGATATTAAACTTCATCTGCTACCTGTCCGTCCAATCTTCAAGCCTCTTTAGGTCTTTTGCATCATTTTACAATCCTCCCCCCCCCCCCCAATCTGATGTCATCACTGTGTACAGAAATTTGGTACCAACACCAAACTTCCGATGTCTAAATCCAAATCATTTCTGAACATGGTGAACAGTAGCGTTCCCTGTACAGATCTCTGACCACTACCTATTTCTTGCCAGTCTGCGAAGCTACCTTTTACTCCTATTCTTAGCTTTCTATTCTCCAGCTATCTCTCGATCCATTCTGCTTCTTCTCCCTGGACTCCACATGCCCTGGTTTAGTCAGAAGTCTGTTATGCGACATCTTATCAAAGGTCTTCTGGTTGTCCATGTACACCACATCCACTGCATTTCCCTTGTTTACTTTATCTGTTAAGGTTGGTGAGGCATGATCTTCCTTTCATTAATCTATCTGGCTACTTTTGATGACAGTCTCCTCCTCGACACACCTGGTTATTCTGCTTTCTTGTTTACACTCCAATAGGCTCCCCACCACAATCGTGATGCTAACTGGCCTCTAGTTTGCTGGAGAACTCAATCTCACTGTCTAAATATGGGTCTAACATTTGCCACCCTCCAGTTCTCTGGCACAATTCCTTTCTCTACTGAGTTCCTAAACATATATCCTGGAGCCTCAGTGATGTCCTCCCTAGCTTCTCTAAGGATCTTTTTTGCCTGGATCTGGTCATCTTTAAATTGGGCTAATTTATCAAGAACCCCCTTCCTCCCAATCGTAGTTGCTGTGATTTCATTCCCTGAACCATGTATTATGCCTATATTTTCTGTCAGTCTTTTTAGTGAAAACTGAGATAAAGCATTTGTCTAGTATTTCAGTGGTTTATCGTCTCCAGTGAGCTACCCTACTTCATCCCAGTGGTTCTATTCCTGTCTTAGCTATTCTCTGATTACTAACATCCCTCTGGAACACCTTGCCAGTTTTTTTTTAACATTGGTAATATTTTCTCTTTGTAATTCCACCAGTTTATACATTTAATGCTGTGTGTAACTAGTGTATACAGTTCACGCCATCTGTGGGAAGGTGCCAGCCTGGCAGTTGGTAACGTTCTCTTGGTCACCATGTTGTGGATTCAAGTCCCATATTGGGAATTTAAGTCAACATTCAGTGAGGCAGTGGGGGGAGCGCTTCATTGTTGGATGTGTCATCTTGAGATAAGATGCTGAACCAAGGTCTAGTCTGTCTATTTGGGTAGATTTTGAGGCTCATGTAACACTTCCATAAAAGAGAAGGGAGTTTCTCCCGGTGACCTGGACAACAATCCCGCAGGTTAAATTGATCGTTCACTTCATTGCTGTTTGTCAGACTTTGCTGTTTGTAAATTGATTACTCCCCTTGACTACAATACACAATTACTTTACCTGTAAATCACTTTGAAACGTTTCATCATTTTGATGCATTCATTGTTTATAAATGTAACACTGTGGTCTGACTAGTTTATGGATTTAAATAATAAAATAATCGTTTCGTTTGATATAGTGCCTTACCACATCGTCAAAATGTCTTAAAGCGCTTCTCGAGATTTACTGTCAAATATAGTGATTGCGTATTTTGTGGGTGAACACGACAGCTAGTTTGCGCACAGCAATATCCCATAAACAGCCATGGAGTGATCGACTAATTTAATTTGGAGGATTGTTGGCTAGGGCACAGGGAGGAACTCCCTTCTCATTTCCAAAAAGTATTATGGGATCTTCAATGTCCAACTGAACAGGCAGACAGGACCTCAGTTTAATATTTTCCCATGAAGGATGGCAGCTTTGATAAATGCAGCACTCCCCCAGTATTGCACTGGAATCTCACCTTAGACCGTGAGCTCAAAGTTGTGGATCGGAATACACAACCTTCTGACTGGGAGGTGAGAGAGCTACCGCCTGAGGCAGGCTGCCACCATTAACACTGTGTGTAGCCGTTTTCTGTAGATAACACTGCGTCTACCAAGTGTCCACCAAGTTTGCTTTAACATTGGGAAAAACGATGGCACGCAACTGAGCGGCCAGTGACTGCACATCACACCTCAAATCTTATTCACAAAGTAATTCCACAAAAGAAAGCGGATGGGATGGTGGTGTGGGCTCTATTCTATCTCGCTATATTGCAAGGGAACCTCACCTTACAGCAGTGAGGTTAACAGTGAGAGCCTCTGAGGGGTGGAAAGGGATTAGGAGTGTGTGGGAGGCAGGGAACTGAGTCATATGCTAGCTCGGTACCAGCCACCTACAGCAACCAACACTTTTTCAAAGCAGATTAATTTGACGGCGGTGAGGTGGGGGTGGGCTGGTGATAAATATTTGGAAAAAGGTTCTCGACCTGGATTCCTACTAAAAGGATCAAATTCACAATTGACGACAAGGAGGAGCAAAACATGGCGAATAAAGTAAAATGCAAAATCATGTTATTTCTGCAGAAAGGTGAAATAGCTCATTGCGGCACAATGTCAAGCATCATTTAAGAGTTATAAAGTTGTGATTCGTGGTTTAATTTTTTTTGTAAAATTACACAAATAAATAGTTATTAAAAAAAACACAGTAAGTATAATATTTTGTTTGGTTCAATCTCATCCCAACCCATAACCCCCTCTCCCCCCCCACACACACACACCATCCTATAATTTTTGTGTCTATAAAATGAAAGTCCACCTTGTAAAATTCCAATCAGTTGTAATAACAAAACAGTTTGGTGTTAAAAAAAGAACTAAACAAACGTTTTAGGGATTGATTTGTGTTTTCCCCCCATCTGATACTCACAGCAAAAAACGAGATACTGAACAAAACGAAGTAAAAACTAAGATCCCAACATTAAAAAAACATAACGTAAGAAATAAATAATCCCAACGCAAATACAAGAGGATAATCAAAACTTGCAGGAAAACAAAATAATTCGTATAAATATATGTATGTACATGTGGATATCATTTTTTAAGAATTCAATAAACTTGATCTAAAGCGATTTGACCAAATCAAAGAAAGGTAACAAATAACAAGGAATATTAAAGCCCTGAGCAGAGTGTTAAAGGCAGTGGGAGTCTAAGGTGAGAAGTTATATCTCACTCTCTTTATCCTGCAGATCTTAGCTATTTATTTTATGGGGGTGGGGGGTGTATGAGGAAGGGGTGGTGGGGGGGGTGGGGGTGGTCTTTTTTTCTCTCTCTAACGGATCTGAGTCTCCCACAAATAACAGAGAGGGTCACTGTCCAGGTTCTTACCTTCAAAGAAGCGCTGCAGTGCTTCTGTCTCATCCACCACTTCCATTGCTCTCAGTTAGTGCCACCTTCCAGACACACACAGCCATGCAACGTGGACCTCCTCTCCTCTCCCACTTGCCAGACCCTCAGGACATCAGGAGAAGCCCCCACTCTCCCCCACCACCACCCCCTCACCCTCACCCCACCCCAGACACACAGCACTTGAAGTTGGGGGTAAGGGTGAGAGGGGGATTGGGGGGTGGGGAGGGGAAGGGGGTGGGGGGGGGGAAGAGACGAGTTTCCAATAATCCACAGCTTTGCCACCTTCCCCAGTCTCACCTGGAGAAATCTTTCACCAGCAATTACTTAACACTCTGGTCAATCTCACACCCAAGACAAACCCATACATGTCAAATTTCTTGGTTTAAATCTCTTTCTTTCTTTTTCTCTCTCTCTCTCTTTCTTTCTCCCCCTCCTCCTCCTCTTCTTTTGCTTAAATTTTTTTTTCTTTCTCTTTTTCTTGACTTTTATCTTATTTTTAAAAAGATCCTTCGCTGAAGGGAGCTGCGAAGAGAGAAGGCAGTGAATCCCATTCTCTGTGTGTGTGTGTCTCTCTCTCTCACTCACTCACTCACACTCTGCTACCCTCCACTGGCTAATGAATGTGAGGCCAGCTCCTGCACATGATGTCACTCAACCTCTTGGGTTTATCACTGATTCTGTGATTTTAGTCAAGTGTGTGGTGTGCTATTTTATATATTTGTATTAAAGTGTTTGTATTAACGAGTCCGTCACGATGAAACGAGGGTTATCTTTCAAAGCGCCATACGGTTTACATTTATACGGCGGCTTTCGCGGCAGGAGGCAGTCTCCAAGCGCCTCGCGTAAGGAGCCGAGGGCAGGGTGGGGGAGGGAAAATGTAACTCAAAGAGGTAATAACACTAATAATCAATGAATATCGCTTGATGCCTCAAAGCGCTTCACGGGATATACTGTGATACAAATACTGTGTCTTTTTGTGGTTGAACGCAATTTTGTTTAGGGGATTTATTCGCCAGGAAACCGAGAGAGAGAAACTCCCTTCTGCGTTGTAAGATGGACCTAGAAAAAGAGGAAGAAGGGAGCAAGTTGTAGGGACTCCGGGATGCGGTTCCAGAAATGGAATTAGATAAATAGAATATCCTCTCCTCAAAGCATCCACACAATCTGCGGATTCCTGTAGTGGTTAGAGCACTCGTCTCGCAAGTGAGAGACCTGGGTTTGATTCTCAGCAGGGCAAGACCTTGGCCAAGTTTCCTTACTCCTCACGCCTGATAATAATCCTTCAAGAAAAAGAAACAATAATAAAATTGGTTACTTCAATCCACGACTGTTTGTGGGACACTGCTGTGCGCAAATGTCTTCCGCGTTTCGCCCACAAATATACAGTCAGTTCATTTTACAGTATATTCTGTGAAGCGCTTTGAGACATCAAGAAGACGTGAAAAGTATATCAAATGCAAGGATTATTATTATTGGCTTCTACTCCTATTACATCACATCACATAAGTGTAGTGACTGTGTATTTTGTGGATGAACGTAGCAGTCAATTTGCAGACAGCAGTGTCCCACAAACAGCCATGAAGTGAATGACTACTTTTATCTGGGGGAATGTTGGCCAAGCCACCCGGAGAGAGAAATTCCCTTCTCTTGAACTCTACCTGTTCAGGTAGAGATTAAAGATCCTATGACATGATTCAAAAAGAGAAGGGAGTTTCTCTCCCAGTATCTTGGCCAATAAATCCCTGAATAAAACTGGTTGTTTGCTCCATGGCTATTTGTGGATCACTGCTTTGCCCACAAAATACACAGTCACTACACTTTAAAGTATATCCTGTGAAGCGCTTTGAGTCTTCTGGACGATGTGATAAGGCGCTATATTAAATGCAAGGATGATTATTATTACCCATCAAACAATCCAACTCAATCATAACACAGAGTTCTACATCAAACACTCCTCGGTCAGTTACAGGTTATGCAACCTCTTTCAGGTGTGATATTAACCCAACATTGTCTCGCTGTCCTTGCTGGCAATCCTCCATATAAAGTGGGTCAATCACTCTATAGCTGTTTGTAAGACACCACAAGTTGTCTGCCCACAGTCACTACACTTCAGAGCAAGTGTTTGATTGCTCTGATGTTATTGATGCCGGATCCAAATAAAAATAATCCTTTCGTTTGGTACAACACCTTTCACGTCAGGAGGATGTCTCAAAGTGCTTCACCGTAAAGTAAATTAGTCAAACGATTATTATTAATACACTCTGCTGGTGTAAGGCTGACTTTGCTGGTGTAAAGCAAGCTCTCTGATGAGGTAATGCTTGTTCTCCAGCATCGTAGAGTTTGTACTATACAAACCTCTCTCTCCCCGCCACCCCAACCCCCCCACCCCTCACAAACACGTCAACACTTTAACACATTACTCTGATTCCAACACAAACCTGCAAAGTCACAACACCTCAGAGTTCATATCACAAAAACAGCCGAGAGAATAAGTCATTTCACAAGACACCAGAATGTATGATAAGCCCTATCTTAGCTTTGGCTCCAACAACAGGAAACTCAATAAAAATACAGTTTCTGTAAATAAACTGCCACAAATCGGGATTCACTGCCAAAACATTAGCACGGCACTCAGGGGGGTTTAGGGAAGGCTGTGTCGTCAAAGGCTCCATCCTTCAGATATAAAACAAGATACAGGTGGACCCTGCTACACAATTCAAAAAGGGAAGGGAATTTCACCTGATGTCCTGATCAACATCCCCGAAACATACCGGGTCATTGACCTGTTATCTGCGATGAATGATGCATGGTAACTATGTAATATTTGATATTAACAGCGACATATCAATTCAATAGTGATATTAGCAGTGACACATGTATATGGTCTGAAATTAAAATGGCATCTCTATGCAGTCTGATATTAATAGTGATATAATATTAAACAGCCACCTCCGCTCCCTTTTCCTTGAGACCAAAATCAAGGGGATCCGCTCGGCTGCCTCTGCCCTTCCAACTGCAGCCCCTACCTATCCCTCCTTCCACACCTTCGACTTTGTCGTTGTCTCCACGAACAGCTTCGCCTCCAGCCCCCGCACCGTCTCGTGCAGCGTTCCTCAGGGCTCTGTCCTTGGTCTTCTCCTCTTCAACATCTACATACTTAATCTTGGTGACATCATCCGCAGATATGGGGTCAACATCCACGCGGATGCGGATGACACCCAACTTTATCGCTCTGTCTCCACCCTCAACTCCAGGACCACTGCTTGTCCTGAGGGAATGTATGTCAGACATCAAGTCTTGAAAGCGAGATAACTGTCTCCAATTGAACGTCAACAAGACTGAGGCCCTCCTGATTGGTTCCTGTCAGTGCCTCTTTTTTGGGGGTGTCAGTCAGGAAACCCATCCCTATGCTTAAGAGTATCCAAACCAAGCTGAGATTTCCATGCATCGCACATTAACATGGAAATCCCAGAGATAGATTGTTGGAATGGAATGTGGATTCTCTCCCTGGAGGGACACATCCTGCTTATCTAATTCCAGAAAGTATTAGGTGCAGGTTGTCAAGAGCCAAGGCTTGGGGACCCCAGAGTGTGCGTTGGGGTAACTGCTGGAGTCTAACCAGCTAAAACCGCACAGTTTGCCATTGCTATTGCTGTTTGGTAAGGTTTCCCGCTGCTTGTCCAGCTAGGACCACCCTACCCAGGTTTACTGGGTTAACAGGAGCTGAGTTGGATGATTCCTGCCCACAATGACTGGTCTGCCCTTCTACGTCCTGCCGATGAGCCAGGCTGGGCTGTGCTGTCAACAGCAGTGTCCTGGAATACTGCAGATCAGGCTGGTTCGGGAACCAGACTAGAGACCATCACAGAGGGCTGGCTCGATTACGACATTCCTTTGCCAAGCATGTCACCTTGGAGCCAGTTCAGCTCCAAGGAGACCCCACTTAAGTTCAAAATACCTACGTGGGGTTTTAACACACCACACTGCTGTAACTGAGATGTTTCATGACGATCTTGCTTGCCTAGAGATTGATTCCAATTCCATTCACTGTCTCTTATTAACCTTGGTCACGTTACTGGCAGAGTTAGGAGGTCCTCATGTGCACATAGTTAGAGAGTGATCCTACACACTGCCTCTAGGGTGTGGCTTCTAGAGTGAGAGGCTGAGAAATACCCAGGTCTTCAGGGTAGAAAGGGGAAAAACCTGGGTCTGGAAATAAAGTGAGAGAAACAGAGGTGTTGAGGGTGGAAGTTGGAGAGAGAAAGTGAGAGAGAGATCAGTCTCAGGATGATAGAGGGGGATTTAAGGTCTCATACACTCAAAGGTCTAGTCAGCATTCAGGAGTTGACTCTGAACTCCATTTCCCCCTCACCCCACCGTGGACCCTCAGGCCAATTTGAGGATCGCTCCTAATACAATTCCGATACGACACGTTGACAGGAGTGCTCCTGCCCCTTTAACATAACCACATGGGTGCGAGGACAAAGGGTGCTGCTGTGCTGACACAGTGCTCATTGTTGGTGGAAGCACAATGTGAGTACACACAGCGAGCCCTAGTCTCAGCCTCAACACTTGCCCAATCACAAGCCAATAGCAATAGGTTTATTATGTGCCCGAATCCAGCTGCGATGCTGGAGCTCCTACAGTGAGTCCCGAACAATGAGCCTATATTATTATTGTTCACCAGCTAGATGGCTTCACTCGCTCAGCCTCAGTGCCTCTGCCATATCATTGAGATCTTTGTTGTGATGTGATGATGCTCACGAAGTCCTCTCCCTAGGTTTGGTCAGGCTCAGTGTCCAGTCTCTCTCTCTCTGTACCCAGGTGAAAATGGGCCAATTCAATCACCTGAGCTCCTGTAGTAGTAATAATAATAATAATCTTTGCATTTGATATAGCGCCTTATCATGTCTTTGAGACGTCTCAAGACACTTCACACAATACACTGTAAAGTAAATTGACTGTACATTTTGTGGATGAACCATGGCAGTCAATTGCGCTCAAATAGTTGTAGATTGAGTGACCAACTATTATTTTTTAAAAGGGATTATTACCCCTGGAAAGTGAGCCACTAATTCACCAAGAAACAGGTTCCTACT